TTGGTCCTGCCACCCACCATAAGTGTTCCAATCCTGTCACCTGTGCTCCTACAAAAACTTGAACGCTCTATTCCACTGGGACAGGATCTATAAAGTTTCCGCTCAAACCCCGCCCCCTGTGGGCGGAGTCTGGTCTTGCCACACACCATCAGTGTTCCCATTCTGTCGCCTGTACTCCTACCAAGTTTAAACTTTCTAGGTCCACGGGGACAGGATCTATGAGTTTCCGCTCGAACCCCGCCTCGGGGTGGAGTCTGGTCCTGCCACACACCATAAGGGTTCCCATTCCGCCGCCTATACTCCTTCCATCTGTGAGGTTTCTAGGTCCACGGGGACAGGAGTTATGATTTTCCAAAATGTTTTCATAAAGCATTGCATTTTTGGAGAACGCCTCACCCGTCTGGGGTGGTTCTCCCCAGTTCGATCTAACTTACCAATGCACACCTCTAGCCACCTTTAAACCCCAGTTTTGAAGCCGTCTTGTGACTGAATTAGAAATCATGGTCTTCAGTACAGCTCATTTCGACGGACGCAACGCCCACTGTGAGCGGAGATCCGCCAAGCTGATATGTGCTTTATACTTCTAGGGACATGGCCCACCCATCCTACGCTTGACCCGGTCTCTCCAGGCAGATCTAAAGGAGCTACGGAATTCCGTAACAGACATACATAACGACAGACAACAGACGAAGCGCTTTATAGTAAGTAGGATGCTGAAGGATAGCTACGTAAACGTAGCTTTAGTGCGAATCGATGTACGTAGCCAAGAGCTTGTTGATGAGGACGCATACATCGCGGATGCCTGTATTGTATCATGTTTCAGTTGATAATTCTTCTCAGGCCTCGTAAACGGCGTGCAGTGAATGATGTGGCCTGTCCCGAGCGGTACTACCTGACGCAGCCGTATTGGTGGTTAATTGAAAACGAGGCTCATTCGTATTACTGCTTTTAGCGAATGACACACGACACACGCGCAGCTTGTCAGGCTCCGACGCGTCTGTTGGCTGTACTCCGCGTGGCTAGCGCAAGGGGCTCATTTTTTATGGACAGTCCCGAACTGGTTCCCGAATATTTCCCAGCTACTAGAATGGTTGCTTTCAGACTTCGACGTCCGTCCGTCCGTAGCGTGCGCGCCGCGACGGCAGTTCTAAACAGGTGTTGACAGCGTCTGATACCGAACGATACTGCAAAATGGGGTGATGAAATTAGTCATCCCCTGTCTTGCGGTATCGATCGGTGTCAGCGCTGTCAACACCTGTCAAGAACCGCCGTCGCAGCACGCACGCGACGGACGGACGAGTGAACGGACGGATGTCGAAGTCTGCAAGCAATCAATGCAAACTTCTGATCGGGTCTATGGGCAGGATACTAGTTGAACTAGGCTCCGTAATAGCATGCATGGACACACAGGCGAAGAGACAAAAAGTATTAATCGACCCAACGCAGAAACAGGAGTTCATCTTCAGAGTCTCTTTGCGCCTCTAGAGCGGTACCTATACTTTTGCTTCACTATTTTCCTACCATTCACCACCTTCTGTCGTGCCACATAACCTCGTTACCAACCGGCCACAGATCCTTTAGCGGAAAAACCTTTGTCGATACGGGCATCATAACAGTAGTTCTAATGAATGTATAGTTTCTGACCTTCGGAATCAAAGTCCCATAATCTGCAGGGAGACTTCCATACTCAGTAGGAAGGCGAATTGATGACAAATCTGAACTATCAGTGCTTGCTTCCGTTTTGATCCTGAACAGGCTATATTATTACAGTATTTGGGCACACAAGTGAGTAACGGATCTCTCGTGCAATCTAAACTTACAGCAATCCTTGCAACTGATCGTTTGAAGCGAACAACCCTGAACGTGAAATGACAGCGTTTCGCAATCTCTTATCTTCTCCATGTTCGGGTGTACGGAAAGCCTCACACATGATCATATAGGAACTAGCGTGATTTGTTATAAGAGCCACCTGAAAGCAGATGGAGTCTTCAAAACTACGGAGAACTAAATCCTATAGAATCTTCGGGAATATAGTGGGTACTGAAACATTATTTCGAAGGACTTTCAACACCACCTTAATGTTCTATATCATTAGGTGCTGCTACTTACACATCTTTGATTTTTTTGACTGAGCAATGATCATGTAAGACATGGCCAAAATTAATCACGCTATTCAAGCATGCAAGTAAAGGTACAGTTAAGAATCTGCGTTTACCTACTGAAATAGAATAGGTAAGAAACGTTTTGTCTTTCGACATTATTTACATTTATCTACATGAGAAACCCTCTCTTCTGATTGTAAAATGATGGGCGGAGTAACGGCAATTGATAAATACTCGAGCCGCGAACTTTTCCATGTAGAGAAGAAAAGTTAAGGGCCGTCTGGAAAGTAAACCTGTTCATGAGGAGGACAAGAAGACGTTCGTCGAAAGTAGGTTCCACAATTAAGCCGAACTTGAAACATGAAGGTATTCCTACTCAAAGTTTCAAGAGTCGTAAGAGTAGAGTCTTTTGGACACTGAAATAGAATGGCTGCTGAGGTAGCTCTTGAAAGCAATGGGTTTTTGAAGTTCAATAGGAATCACTTCTATTTTCGCGGTTACAAGTAACGAAAGCTTTAAGTTGATGGCCCTATTTCAAAACAACGCCAAATGACAGGTATGTAAGTAAATAAATTAGTAAATAAATAAGACAACCTTATCAGCATGGGGGAGATTTCGGAAGCATGCGAATGACTTCGCCCAATCTATGTACAGTGCAATTATACGGGATCTCCAAAACGGCATTTTATTTTCATCCATTCCAGGCTTCGGAGACGCAATCGGATCAGTGATCTGACGGTAAAATTTTTGCACAAACGCATGCATTTACCACTGTAACGATAATTGTGGTCTGCCTTACTCTGACACTAATTGGCTGATGGAAACGACTGGGAGCAGCTAAGGCGTCGTCAAGCGAAGCGTAGGGTTCGATTTCCGCTCGACTGAGCAGGAGCGTCAAGTTATTCTCCAGTGTGGTCAGACGCTCGAGCATTGGGTCTACAGCATTCTGGAACAAAAAAATTTCGGAAATAATATGAATCGTCGAATATTATTGATTTTAACTGCTATTCACAAATTACATTGTCATGTCTGTGCTCTCTTGAATCCAGGCAGCTCGGCCCTAACCGTATGTCCTCGTGGCTGTAGCTATCCGGCGAATTTGNCTCGACTGAGCAGGAGCGTCAAGTTATTCTCCAGTGTGGTCAGACGCTCGAGCATTGGGTCTACAGCATTCTGGAACAAAAAATTTCGGAAATAATATGAATAGTCAACCATTATTGATTTTAACTGCTATTCACAAATTACATTGTCATGTCTGTGCTCTCTTGAATCCAGGCAGCTCGGCCCTAACCGTATGTCCTCGTGGCTGTAGCTATCCGGCGAATTTGAAGTGTGCCGGCTCCTGAACAGCAAATCAAGAGCGGAAAGAAAAACTCAAAGCCCACTATTATTCATTTTGCTTATGCGATAATTAATAGGGAATAGAAGTGTTAACAGTTCTTCGAGCCGCGCTCGCCTTCAAAATTCTAACTGGTCCGAGTAGCGACTAATGTCGTTGCCACCACCCGCAGAGGACACAATATAAGGAGAGCGGATCGAAGATGACGACGGCGGGAAATAGTCTTATAGGTCCTAGTGTTTCGCATGCTTTTGTGTCGAGGGCGATTACCAAGACAATAAACAATATTGTAGATAAAACAAAAGACTGACGGAGAACAAGGTCAAGGTGTAATCCGATGTTTGTTCTTCTTCTCCCGATTAAATGTTTGGTCGCGATGGAGGCCAATCATTTTGCGCTCACATTTGAACACGGTTCAATCTCGTCTATTACAGCAAGCCATTCATCTTCCCGATTCATTTTGGGATTTCCCCCGCTGATCCAAAAGGCTTTAAAAGTTTTTCGCGATGTGCTCCCGATTAATACCTCAAACTCTACATTTTCGGGGGATGCTTTCCATGGTGTCCCGAGGGCGTTTTAGGCCTCTATTTTTCTAGGTAAAACATAGCGGCATTACCTAGAAAAATAGAGGCCTAAAACGTTGAGGCCACCGTTGAGACAGAAGCGGTAATTGAAGCTCTGGGCAACCAGGGTGTTCCTACGCAATATATAAGGATGCTTC